AGGGGTCGAAGAGGTCATCCCGCATGTTGGCTGGCTGCAACACGTACCCACACAGGCCGCTGGACATGAACAGGGCCTGGTTCATCTGCATGGGCTTGTCTGAGAAAGACAGGCAGGGAGTGATGGCTTCAGTCATGCTCAAAGAAGAGATCTGAGCGCATCATCCTGGCACTAGGACAGGTTCTGTCCCTCCAGGGCATCAGGGTCGAAGAGGTCATCCCGCATGTTGGCTGGCTGCAACACGTACCCACACAGGCCGCTGGACATGAACAGGGCCTGGTTCATCTGCATGGGCTTGTCTGAGAAAGACAGGCAGGGAGTGATGGCTTCAGTCATGCTCAAAGAAGAGATCTGAGCGCATCATCCTGGCACTAGGACAGGTTCTGTCCCTCCAGGGCATCATCTGGCATGTCACCCAGCCCAGGATTCAATGTCCCAAGCCATCAGGCTCCTCCACCACTTTCCTTCCTCTGTGTGGTATGTCAAAAGAACATATGAACGGCCACACTGGGTCAGACCTAAGGTCCATCTAGCCCAGTATTCTGTCTTCCAACAATGGCCAAAGCCCAATGCTCCAGAGGGAATGAACAGAACAGGTTACCATCAAGTGATCCATCCCGTTGCCCATTCCCAGCCTCTGGCAACAGAGGTAGGGACACCATTCCTGCCCATCTTGGCTAACAGTCATTGATGGACCTATCCTCCATGCACTTATCTAGCTCTTTTTTGAATTCGGAATCCCATAGATTGATGGTACATTGTGTGAAGAAATACTTCCTTCTGTGTGTTTTAAACCTGCTACCTATTCATTTCATTTGGTGAGCTCTAGTTATAGTTATGGGGAGGAGTAAATAACTCTCCTTTGCTCATTTTCCACACCTGTCATGATTGTATAGACCGCTAATGCATCCCTCCCTTAATTGTCTCTTTTTTCCAAGCTGAAAAGTCCCACATTTATTAATCTCTCCTCATAGAGCAGCTGTTCCTTACCCTTACTAATTTTTCTTGCCCTTTTCTGAGATGAGGTGACCGCATCTGCATGCAGCATTCAAGATGTGAGCATATCACTGATTTACACAGAGGCAATAAGATATTCTCTGTCTTATTCTCTATCCCTGTCTTAGTCTGCTTTGGACTTAACTATCTTGAGCAGTTTGGTATCATCTTCAAATTTTGCCACTTCACTATTTACCCCTTTCTCTAGATCATTTCTGAGTATTTAGGATAGGACAGGTCCCAGTATGGACCCCAGAGGGACACTGCTAGTTACCTCTCTCCATTCTGAAAACTGGCCATTTATTCCTCCCCTTTGTTTCCTATCTTTTAACTAGTTATCAATCCATGAGAGGACCTGCCCTCTTATCCCATGACAACTTACTTTGCTTGAGCCTTTGGAGAGAAATCTTGTCATAGGCTTTCTAGAAATCTAACCCTGGTTTTCAAACTATGGGTTACGACCCAGCACTGAGTTGCACAATCTCAAGCATGGGGTCACCTTGCTGCATGGTGACCTGCAACTAGTGGGGGTGCTAGGGCAGCTTCCTGCCTGTCTTGGCGGGGGGAGGAGGGGCTAAAGGGCTCTGTATACTGCCCCTCACCCTGAGCACTGGCTCCACTCTCATTGGACAATTCCCAGCCAATGGGAAAACGGGAGGGGGAAATCTATACCTACAGGTGAGAACAGCATGAAGAGCTGCTTGTGTGCCTCCACCTAGGAGCCAGACCTGCTGCTGGCCACTTCCAGGGCACAGTGTGGTGTGTGGTGCCAAGAGGGGCAGCAAGCCCGCGTTAGCATCCCCTACTGTGTCGCTGCCCAAGAACTGCTGGAGGGTAAGCTTGTGCCTACCTGGGGTCTGGAAGTTGAGCGCCACCAGCTGGCTGCCACAGATCCACATGGGCAGGGGGTCGTAGTTGGAGGAGTCGAGGCGCTGGCCCTTGGGGTAGATGCGGGAGAGCTGCAGCCGGTTGTATTGTAGGAACTTCTTGCCTTTGATCTTGTTGACGTACTTCTCCGCCTTGGTCTCGGGGAAGGAGGACATATCCCTGTAACAGGCCCTTTCGGTGCCGATCTCTGCAGGAGACATGGAGCTGTCACTCACTACGCAGGTGCTCCATCTGCCCTGAGCAAGGCCAGGTGGGCTGCTTCCACCTCCGGGCAGCTCCGGGAAGCAGCTGCACCACCAGGGTTTGTGTCCTTGTCAGCTGCTCCCCGGCACAGACCTCTTCAGTGTGTGACTAGCAAATACCCTGCAGTTGGTATGGGGGGGGGGGACTGTCTGAATCCAAACCCATCACCTGCCCAAACTGGACCACTGCCTCCTCCTCCAGTCCCTGCTCTAGACACTCTCCTGGATCCCTGACTCTCCCTGAGGCAATGTGTGCTCATATAGCTCTTCCCCTCCCCACCCCCACTAGCCCTGAGCTAGCTGAGATGTCTCTGGGCATCATCTGTAGCCCTCCAACAGAGCATGTGGGAAGAGGGCGTGGGGGCAGCCACTGTTAATTCTGAGGGGAGCTCTGCGTCTCAGTAACCCCCAGGCAGCTTGGAGAGCCTGGCATGAGTCCCTAGCCCCAAATTCACTGGGCTACTTTGGTTTCTAGGCCAGCTCTGGGGGCAGGCTGAAATCTCTTGAGAATGGCTGGATGGGGGAGATTTCCACCACATGGGGCTCAGCATCGTAGGAGCTTGAACTCAAATTACGTCCAATCGGACCTTGAACCCCAAGCCTCTGCTTAAATCCAAAGGGTCCGTGTCCAGCATCTGACAGGCACAGTCTGGCCAGGTTGTACTATGGGGCGTTTGGGGGTTTCCAATGTACCTGCAGCCTGGGTGCCGGTACCCAGCAGACAAGAGACTGCCACTTACTCTCTTCATCGAAGGGGACAGGCCGGCAGTAGATGACAAGTTCTGACAGCTCCCGGGCGATCTTCTTCCTCCTCTCCATCATCTTCCCTTCAGAGAGCTGCAGCAGGCAGACACAGAGTCACCCGCCTGCCCCCTCAGCAGCAGCACTTGCCTAGCGGTGACCTCGGCTGCAGAGCTAGCACAGGTCTCCGGATCACTAGTCACCCTGCTCAGGGGCTACTAGGCACCAGCAACGGCCTTTAACATGGCCCCTGAAAGCCCCTAACAAGGGTGGGAATTTCAAAAGCCCCTAACAAGGAGGACAAGTCTCACTGACCTCCAAGGGGGTTTGTGGCCTGCAATCACTGAAAACCGTGAGTGACAGCTGCGTCTGCCATAGGCAGACCGGGGTGCTTGACCCCCAACCCCGCACCCCTTCATCCAAGCCCTGCCCCAGTGCTTCCCACCCCTGCTCCGCCCCATTCCACCCCTTCCTCCAAGCTCCGCCCACCGCTTCCCACAAGCCGCCACCCTTTCTCTTCCCTCTCCCCCAAGCAGGCAGTGTCCCTGCTCTTCCCCCCACTGCTCCGAGGTACGAAGCAGCAGTTCGGGGCAGGCGGGAGATACTGGGAGGAGAGGGAGGAGTTGGACAACAGGGCTGCTAGTGGGGGAGAGGTGCTGGGAAATGGGAGCTTCGTTGCCACTGGATACTCAGCATCCCATAATTTTTCCCGGTGGGTGGATCCAGCCCTGGAGCACCCATGGAGCTGGCAGCTCTCTTTGCCCCTCGCTTATAGGGCCTCTCTTTCAGACGTAGGGCAAGGGGGCTCTCCAGACTCACCCTGGCATCAGCAGTCTGGGCAACCTCCCGGATCTTCTTCACCCAGTCCACCAGGTCCTCGTGCGTGTCAGCCGCCACGTCCATGCACGGGCGCGACATGGAGGCCTTGCTGATGGAGAAGACGAAGGTGCGGTTGTTCTTCCCCTCGGGGCGGATGGCTGCGACGGGAGAGGGAGGGAAGGGAAAGGTCACAACCACTCATGCAGCTGCGATTAGAGGGGAGGGGAAGGAACAAGGTGCTGAGTGGGTTTCCTACAACCAGGCCCTACGTTGCGTCCAATTCACTGGCCTCCAGATTTATGACAACCAGGTTGGGAGAGAGAAATGGGCTAGATTACAGGCAGCGTGGGCTCGATTCTTGGCCTCACTGCCCATTGCTGAGCTATGCTCCTTGGCTCCCAAGCCCCCGAGAAACCAGCGTTCCAGGGGATGCAGGACAGAGGGAGGAGGGGAGACTCTGGGCTGGAGGCACTGGAGTGGCTGTGGGTGGATGGGGAAGCCAGCCCCTTTCACACCAGGGAGAGCCCTGCATGGCCCGGGCACAGGTGCAAACAAGAAAGTAGCTGACTCCACCCACACCCCAGCGCTTACCTATCTGGCATGACGGCACGTCCAGGGTGCCTCCGAGCAGGACTCCCAGGGGGCTGTTCTCATCTAGCTGCTGCTGGGAACAGAGCACAAACCAGCGCGTCAGAGTTGGCTAGTTCAGCAGTGAGCTGGCCCTCACCCCAGACACGCCCCACCACCCTGGCCCTCAGCACGGGGCACCTGCCCAACAGCCGGGAGGAAAGCATTGAGCTCTGGCTTACACACAGCTCAGCCACTTTTCCACAGGCACCCCCTTCTGCCCACCCCCGCCCTTTCCAGACAGACACACACACACACCCCTCCCTCTCCCACTCACACCTATGACATATTATTTTTATCACACACACACACACACACACACACACACACACACACACACACACACACACACACACCCCTTCCTCTCCCCCTCCTCTGTCCTGCCCTTCCCACACACACCCCCTACCTCTGTCTCAGGCTCCTGGCCACTAGGGCTGGCTAGTTCCTCGACGTAGTTGGAAGGAAACCACAGCTGCTTTTTGCCCCCATAATCTCCTCTCCACCTGGGAGAGACAAAGGTGCAGCCCGTCAGGACGGCCCCCAGCGGCCCCACAGGGCTGCCCAGAGCTCCCAGGTCTCAAGTGAAAGGAGGCACCACGTCAGAGCGCCCAGCTCCTGGGGTCCTTGCACGGTCACAGCACCACGAGCACAACCTGGCTCCTCTCACCCCACTCCTGAGAGAGCCCTGCTGGCAAAGGGCACGGCGGGACAGCCACAGGCTCCTAAGGGGCCAGAGCCCCACTGATGCATAACCTGGGGGGATGGGCAGGTAACAACTCCTGCTGACTGTATTTCGAATGGCTCGTTCCAAGGGCAGGGTTACTCCCCCGAGAGGCACCGCCACTTCCAGGCTCCTGCACCATCCTTCCCAGCCCCCTTCCACATTTACTGTGTCCCGGAAGCTCTCTCTCTGGCCCCATAGGAAGGGGCTGAGTGCCGGTGCCAGACAGACAGTCCAAGGGGCCAGCGTCCATTGCTCATCTACAGAACAGGGACAGGTTTTCAGGCAATGCCTCTCCTCCCCAATGGCAGCTTGGTCTCTGTGACCCTGGCTCCTCCTCTGAGGCTGCTGGCTTTTGGGGCCTGTCTGGCTAGGACACAGAGCTTATCCGCCAGCATCCGCCATCCAAGGGGGCAGAAACGGGAGGGGGTGGGGGAAGGTGTCGCTCACCAGCCTCCTTCCTGCTTCTCCACGTTCTGGATGATGGCGTTCTTCATGAAGGTTAGCTCGTCTTCCCGCTGCGCCTTGTAGTCGAACAGGGCCTTGACGGCGCACTGCAGAAACAACAGAGGGCCGCGAGGCTTGAGGCTGGATGGCGGACACCAAAGCCAGCATGGGACATCGCCAGCGTGAGCGAGAGGAGCTCCCCTTCCACCGTCACGATCCTGGCACAGAACCTACAGAGGCTCACGCCCCCCTCGCCTAAGGGCGCCCCCCATCCAGCCGTCCACCAAGAGCCAGCATCTAGCAACCACCACAGGAGAGGGTGTAACCCACTGCTGGAGTGTGCTCCTGGCTCCCAGTGGGGCCTGTGCACAGAGGCTGCAAGTCTGCTAGGACGCCTGGGCTCAAGCTGTAGCAGCTCATAGCTCTGGAGGACAGTGGCTGGAGGTGTGGGCCAAGATGGCAGCCATCACTAGTGCAAGGTCCATGGACTTTCCTCGCGTCTCTCCCTGGTTTCGTGTTGCATTTTCGTTCTGCAATTTGTGTGGCTGCTGCCGAGATGAGCAAAGGAAACGTTGCTGCCTCGCCTGGCTTGATGGGGCTAACTAAGCAATGACCGATACAGGTCACAGCCCAGCTCGGCTTCCTGAACAGCTGGCTTGCAACTGGGCATTTAGTCGCCCCTACACAATCAGATCAGGAGTCCTCACATGCAAACGGACCTTTACACAGTCAAGCGGTCAGACGTGCAGTCTGCACACAGGCCTGGCAACTGTGCGTTGCAGAGGAGACACAAATGACAAACTTGCATGCAGATTTTAGAAAAAATCATCCGGAACCCAATGTGTGATTTGTTTCCTTTGTCTCACTGCTAGGAAGCCCATGAAAAGAAATACAGGAGATTCCACCTACGAGCAAGTCCCTTGGGTTGCTTGCAAAAAGTTGCCATTATCTGGCAAGTTCCTAATAAGCGGAAGGCAGGTGCGGGAGGCAGCAGCCGGGGAAGGAAGTGCCGGCAGGGCGTCAGTACAGCGGGGCCCACTGGGCTATACCATACCTCTTCCTGAGCTTTCCAGAGGCCGGGGCTCTGCTCACCCCACTACTTCCTTCCCTGTGTGCAGTCCCCCAGCAAGGTGCAGCCTGGACAGCACAGAGAGACCATGGAGTCCTGGCACCTCGATTGCAGCCCCCTCCCTGCTACTGCTCTGCCCACAGCCCCCTCCACCCAGCCCCTCACTTCCTGCACAGGCAGGATTGCTGACTGCAGCCAGGGCAGGTGCATCCCAGTGCTTCCCTCCCATCTGCATCCTAGGCTTCTCTCAAAAACAAAGCTGCTAATCCATGGCATGCCTGTTGCCAACCTCCGAACCCCATTAACACTGGTGTAAGTGGGATGGGACTGCTACCCAGCAGCGTGTGGCCATTAACCAGAAGCTGCTAATATCAGGATTGGTATGAAGTGGAATCTACCACACACAACTTCAGAGGACAGGACGTGGGAGCTCCCGCCACTCCCGAGCCTGCTGGCAGGGAGCATCAGAACAGATCCCTTGAACCCAGGCTCCCTGTTCTGATCCCCAGGAGCAAAGCAGAGTCTCCTCTCGCCTGGGAAGTCCTGGAGATCTCGGACAGAGCCTCTCAAACACCCAAAAGCACTGCAGCCCCCGCAGCTGGCTCTGTAGAGCAGCTATCAGTCAGCACTGCCAGGAGCTGTGGAGTCACATTGCACTTTTGCGCAACAGCTGCAGAACAGACCCATGAAATGCTATGCGGCTGGGTGCTGTGGAAACCTCGCTCAGCCGACATTCTCGGCCCAGCGATACAGCCACACCTTACCTTAAAGCAGAACCAGGCCTACGCATGCACATGCGGAAAACCTCCCCTCCCTCTGAACTCTCCACAAGAACAATAAAGGGGCCAGGAACCCGGTCCAGCAGAAAGGACACATGTCTAGGCAGCAGGCCTTGGGGGTGGAGGAGAAAGCGTTCCTGGCTTTCCTCACTCGGCCCAGCCTGCCAGCCACCAGAAACCCCCCTTTCTCCTCAGCAGAGGTCTGGCCAGGGGCAGTCTCAGGCAAATAGGATGGCAATGGTGGGAGATGTGGGGCAGAACTGGATGGGGGGAGAAGGGGAAGCCCCAGAGCAGAGCTAGATGGCGAAGGAAGCACAAAAGCCTTAGGGGCAGAACTGGACCAGTGGGCCATTACAATCAACCTGTGAAGACGAAGACAAAGACAAGAGGATACCTTGAACGTTGGCATAGGATTGGCCTCCACATAGAATCCTGGATGGCGTCCTTCATAAAGGGCTCCATAATCGGGCTCCTGCAAAACAAAACAGAAGCCCGTACACGGCCGCTCAGAAGCGAACATCTCGTGCGAGGAGAACGGCTCCTTCTGTATTTTTATGCTGCTACCAGAGAAAGAGCCACAGAAGCCAGCAGTGCAGAAGGGACTGGCGCATAGGAAACAGACCCCTTCTAACCTAGCCGAGCATCCACCAATCACGCTGACGCCACCCAGAGCTGCTGGTGCTACACGTCAGGCCGTGCATGCCCAAGGCACGGAGGGGAGGGAATCCTTGGTCCTCTTGCTAACTCAGCTGTGCAGGTATCACACATTCACTCAACCACCCCCGGCCAGGGGCAGGCTTCTGACAAGGCCAGCTCAGCTGAGCCCTCGCTGCAGAGGCCGCCTCCCCCGACCCGTGGAGCGCTCCCTGCCCACTCACCGCTGTCCCGATCTTCTCCAGCGTCTCCTCGTTGATGGGGTACCTCAGCTTCATCTTGCGGTAGAGCGGGTGCTTCTCGTAGTAGCTGATCAGATCCACCAGGCTGTCGAACTCAGAGTTGCCCAGGAGCACAGTCTGGCCCTCCTGCTGCACTCGGCAGTGCTTGATCTTCCCTTCCGCCCTGCCAGGCCACGATGACAGAAACACTGCTCGGCAAACGGCCAGAGAAACCCCCTCTCCAGGCAGCACCATGAACCAGCCCAGTACGAGAGCTGCTCCAGCTTGCCCCTGTTTAAGCGGTTAACTGATTCAACAGGATTCGACATCCCTAATCAGCACAGGTCAGAAGAGGGTGAAACAACCTTACAGTTAGAGCAGACACACAGCTCCTAATGAGACCACCCAGGGACAAAAGCTGGGGAAAACAGCCCCCCACCCCCTCAGCGTGGCAGGCAACTGGCAAGTACGAGAGCTGCTCCAGCTTGCCCCTGTTTAAGCGGTTAACTGATTCAACAGGATTCGACATCCCTAATCAGCACAGGTCAGAAGAGGGTGAAACAACCTTACAGTTAGAGCAGACACACAGCTCCTAATGAGACCACCCAGGGACAAAAGCTGGGGAAAACAGCCCCCCACCCCCTCAGCGTGGCAGGCAACTGGCATGAAGCGGGGCGGCTTTGAGAGCCAACTGAGTCTAATGCTGTCCCAGTAGGCACCGTCTCCTTCCTCCCCCAGTCAGGGCTGAAAAGGAATGGCGGCTTGGACAGAGGCAAGGGACCCGGGACTCCCGATTGGTGCTGCAGAATACAGCAACCCCCTGTCTGAACCAGCACAGCCATTGGCGCAGGGGTGGGCAATAATTTTTGCCGGGGGGAAAGGGGGGCACTCCAAGATTTTGGAAAGTGGTCGGGGGCTGCACTCTTCCATGATATCAATGGAGAAGATGCGAGGTCTGGGACAGAGGTTGGGTGCAGAAGGGAGCTTGGGGTGAGGGACTGGGGTGCAGGAGGGAGAATGGAGTCTGGGAGGCAGTTTGGGGGAAGGAGGCGGCTGTGACCTAGGGCAGGGGACTAGAGTGCAGGGGTTTGGGATGTGACTTAGGGTAGGAGAGGACTGATCTGGGGCAAGCGATTGGGGTGCTGGATCTGGGAGGGGGTCTGGGTACAAGGGGGGGCAGAGGGTTGGGGAAGGGAAGGGCTGGGGTGCCAGAGGCAGGCTCTGGCCAGCAGCCAAACCAGCTTAACGGCCTGCAGAGCTTAAAACATTCCCCAGCCAGCCTGCCTGCCTGCCTGCCCAGCCATGTGCTTCAGTGCTTCTTCTTGGTTGCCTCTTATTTAAAACAGGCAGCTCCCATTGGCCAGTTTCTGGCTAGAAACCGGCCAGTGGGATTGTGCCGGGGGTAGGGGCAGCTCCTGAAGCTTCCCCCCCTCCCCTCCAGTTTTGAAACAAAGGGGGCCCAGCAGCAGTGTTTCTGAGAGGCATGCGGGGCTCCAGGGCAAGCAGGGGAGCCTGCCTGGGGCTCCCTGCTGCCTCTGCGGGCTGTTGGGTGCCTGTCTCCCACTTAAATCCACGGGAAGCAGGCGCCTGAATATCTTGGAGGATCAGCCTCGGCGTAACTGCAGCAGAAACACCTTCCTGACCCGACACACTGGGCCGTTCCTGCAAAACGGTGTGTTAAGCACGAGCGGGGGAGAACTTCCCTCACACCCAGGTACGTGCAGAGGGTGGGGTCCAATTCAGGGTAAGAGCGAAGAACACAAGCGGAGGCTCGTGGTGGAGATTCTCAAGCCAATCCCAAAGCAACCCAACCTCCTAATAGCAGCATCAGTCCCAGGGTGTAAATAAAACCTTCCCCCTGGGACGAACACACGCACAAGCACACGGATCCGCGTACACAGCCCGGCAGCTTACCGGAACGAGATGGCGTAGGAGTTGGGCTCAGCTCTCTTGCGCACCAGGAAGGCTCCGTCCCGTGACACTCTCATCAGCATGTGCTCGGCCTGGGGCCGGGTGAGGTTGGCGTGGTACCACCTTTGGGTAAAGACACCCTAAGATGAGCAAGCTCCCATGTCCCAGATAGGCCTGGCCAAGCCCCAAGGGGCAGGTCTCTCATGATGTAGTGCAACCGAACCCACTGGTGGCAGTTTCTCTGCAGCTCTAGAGCCCTGTGGGACAGGAGGCCGAGAAAGGGACAGTATCTGTAGCAATTCAGAGCTGTCTCGCCCCCTCGGCAGAGACAGGCTGGGGATGAAGGGAACGCAGACGCAGGGCAGATCAGTGTCCCGCCCCTCTCTCAGCAAACAGCACACGGCTCAGGGTTGGGACAGCAGGCTCAGTCTGCTGCAGAAACACACAGAGCATCGCTTCCCACTACAGCATTGGGAGGGGCACTGCAGGGCCAAAGTGAGGCAGCGAGGGGAGCACTGTAGGGGACCCCGCCCCCCGTCCCGCCCATGCTTACTCCTTGCTCTCGTGGGCGTTGGTCTGCGGCACAGGCTCAGTCAGCTTCATCTCGAACTCGTTGCACCGCAGAGGCACCTGCTGGTAATGGGTGATGAGGTCGTAAAGGCTGTCGAACACCAGGTTGTCCGTGAGGAAGAACTTGGGGCTGCCGGCGTCCTGCCGGGAATGGATGCGGCAATGTTGCACCTTCCCATTGCGCCTGGGTCAGAACAAGGAGAGAAAGGGAGATGTGCTCTTGAGTGGGGACTCTGGGCAGGCCATTGCCCAACGCAGACTGACTGGATAAGATGCCATCATGTGGCTTACTCAGTCTCATAGCTAGCAGGCCATCTCGGTGGGAGTATGGCCCAGCTAAATTGGACCCAGCAGTAAAGACAGTTAGGATGCATGCCTACTCTTAGTCCATGGATTACATTAAGCAGGAGAAGTGTGATCAGTGCAAACACACAGCCAAGAGGCCAACAACACTGATAGCAGCAGTACATGGTGGAGAAAATCCAACATGCTTGAAGACACAAACCGATGACTACCGGAGTTAGGAAGGATCGTCTTCTGGGGCAAGTTATGAATAACTGGTAACCAATGCTCTCTCTAATCTTTTCCATTCATTTGAAGATATTTTTTCCTTCCCATTGCAGAATAAATTTTTATGCACACGGAGGCATGTGTGAATATGCACCACCAATAGAAACACAAAACGTAGCGGCAGGCACTCTGCTAAGCAGCTGGGTGGCATTTGAATTTCTCTTGAGCAGCTGCACAAGAGCACAGATTACGGGGAATAATACGAGTAACTTATGTATCAGGCAAGCCAGAAATCTGCCTGGCAATAATCCCCAGAGCAGATCTTTTAGAAAAACATACAGCTTGATTTAAAAATTGCCAGTGATGGAGAATCTACCATCACCCTTGGTAAATTGATCCAGGGGTTAATTTCTCTCATTGTTAAATGTCCCCCTTCTTCCTAGTCTGTATCAGTCTAGCTTCAACTTCTAGATCCTGGATCGTGAGAGACCTCTCTCAGCTAGACTGGTAACCCTGTTAGTAAATACTAGCTCCCCAGGTTGATACTTCAAGACTCTGAGTAACCCCTTACCCTTCCTTTGTTAAGCTAACGAGACTGAGCACCTCCGGTCGCTCGCTATCAGGTACGTTCCTAATCCTTTAATCATTCTCAGGGCTCTTCTCTGACCCCTCTTCCATTTATCAACATCCTTCCTGAAACGTGGACATCAGAATGGACACAGTATTCCAGAAGGGGCAGCGCCAGTGCCAAATCTGTACACCTATTTTAGAGAGTTCGTGCATCTGTCTGTCCATGAGTCAGTCAGTCTGTCCAAGAATGCCTTCTTAACTATAAGAGCTAGGACCATCAAATTTGGTACACAGCTTCCTCTTCTCCCAACTTAAAGCAAGGGTAGGGTTTGTTTGTGCCAGGACAATGGGATGTGCCTGGAATGTAACTGTTTTCCATAACCCAGAAAGGGAGGGGCCTGAGAGCATGGACAGTTATGCTCCACAATGACCACTGGGGACAGTGAGTATGGGGGACAGTTACACTGCAGAATGACCACAGGGGGGCAGCTACACCAGGAAGACAGCAGGCAGCTGGGGCCAGGGCTCTCCATATTACCCTTTGGCTGGTGACTGGCAAGTTGCCCCCTGGTTGCAGCTCAGCTCCCAATCATCCCCCCCTCCCCGCAGACGGGATGCAGGCCAGGGCCAGGCAGGAAACCCCCACCTCCTCCCCCATGCAGCCCCTGTGCCTCTCCGGGAAGAGCTGCCGGCCAGGCAGCATGACCCCAAGTGTCCTAGGGAGCCACCGTCACAGCAACACCGGTGAGCCCCACCAGACCTCCCAAACCTGACTCCTGCACCCCCACAAGGACCTGAGTAACAGCGGGTAAATCCTCTAGCACAAATCCAAAATAACCTCTGGCTCTACTCGGGATTCCTGATTTAGCATCCAGACAGAACCGGAGGCCATGAGAATAAGGATGTTAAGAAGCGGTAACTGGCTAATCGTGTAGCTGACACAATTTGTACTGACTACACAATTAGTTGATAAGGGGAGGCGCTCTGTCCCGGCTTGCTCTGGGTTCAGGAACTACCCCCACTATGGCTCTGCAGTTTAAATGTAGTAGGAGCCGGGTGTGCAGGCAGCCCAGTTCCTACTATATTTAAATTACAGAGCTGCAGTGGGGGCAGCTCCCAGGGCTGGTGCGAGCAGTCCCAGCTTGTGCTGGCTCTAGGAACGCTGTGGCTCTGCCTCCCCTCCTCCTGCCTCACATACCATGGAGACATTGCTGGGACGAACTGGCTTTTAAGCCAGCTCTCCCAGCACTGGCTCCTGCTTCCTCACCCCTTGCTGCCTCTGATAGAGAGGCAGCAAGGCGGGGGGAGGGGAAGTGAGCAGTCAATTAGTCATTCGACTAGTCGCTTATGTCCCTACCTGAGAGGTCAAGTAACTTGATCCAAGTCACACTGCACATGAGTGGCAGAGGAGCAACTGAACCCAGGTGCTCGACTGAACCCAGCAGATAGAGGAGGTAGGGAGCTCGTGAATGAAGGCCACTTCAGAGCTGGTGAAAGGGCCACAACCCTTACCAGAAAGAGAGGGTGTAGTCTCCCACGAAGGTTTCGCTCTCTCGTACTAGAAAAGACCCATCAGGGGCACCAGTCTCTATGCAGTACTCCATCAGCAACCGCTCTGCTATGTGGCGCCCATCACGCCCAGCCCCCAGCTTGCCATGAAACCACTTCTCAGTGGAGTGAAGTTCAGTGCTGTTGCTCACCTGGCAGGAGAGAGAGACAGATCTGTGGCACTTCAGTAGAGCTCCCGGTGGAAGGTACCGGCTATTCTCAGAGGCACAGGGCCTCCAGCTGTGGACCACGAGTGTTTGAATTCCAGTCCCCTTCCCACTGAGATAAAATCCCTTGGGACTCCAGTAATTTACATCCATTACTATGAAGTATAAAATGTTCCAGGGCCGAGAGAGCACTCAGGGTGGCATAAGTGTCACCATCCCATTTTACAGATAGGGAAACCAAGGCACAAAGGGGTAAAGCGATGGCCCGATTTTCCCAGGTGCTGAGCACCTGCAGCTCCCACTGAAATAATGCTCAGATCAGCTGCTCAGCTTCGCAATCAAGTCATTTATCATAGGCAAGGCCATGTGAAAATCAAAGGCTTTCTTTTTTTAATGAAAGTTCATGACAGTGTCACGGGCAACGTTCCTTCTACTTTTTCCACCTGTATGTGGAATACATTTTCCTGTGTGCACCAAGGCATGGGCAGATGTGCACCACCACCAGAAACATGCTGCTGGCTGTGGGCGCTGTGCTAATTAGCTGGGCGGCATCTGACACTCTCCTGGGCGGTTCCCCAAGCGCTCAGTTTACAGGGAACTCGGGGGCGAAGTAGACATGTTCACAGAATGCGCATGGCCACTGAGTTGCCCCCACACTGCTGCGATTTTTCCAGCAGCGGGGAGGCAGACTTGAGCTTCTCCGATCTCGCAGGGGTGTTCATGTCGGAGCAGGAGTGGGGGCTCCAGGGCTGGTTTCATCTGAGGGACAGCAGCCAGCACAGCTCTGGCAGGGAACTCGAGCTACATGCTGTGCCAAGCACGAGATTGGCACATGCGGATGCTGCAAAGGCCACAGCAGCTCGTGCTCCCAGCAGGGATGTTATTGGCAACTGTGCCTCTCTCACAACCAGCTGCTGTGCCCTCCCTCGCACAACTGCTGTGACACGATCCTGCCATGCCACACGAGCCACACCGAACACAAGACTGGTATGTGCGGCTGCCTGCTTCCACTTCCCCGGTGCTGCTAGGAAAAAAAAGTCCCAGTACTGGGCTAATTCACGGCTTCCGGCAGCACATGAAATCGAGCGAATCCCTTATGAAGGCATGGCTCTCACCTCCTTTTGCTCTTCCTCATCCTCGTTTCCCTGGTGGCTGGTCGTCTCCTCAGAGTAATAGATCTTGCTGGCGGTCAGGACAAAGTAATGTGGATTCCATTCCTGTAGGGAAGCAAAAACCTCTGTAAAGGGAATTCATCCAATCAGCACTGGACAGACCGATTACCTTTGGGTGGATTGTCAGCACTGTGGGGTTTGGTGGGGTTCAGGGGTAGTGAGGGAAGTTGGCTGGTGAAGTTTAAAGGCTCAAGAAGACCATGATCAATGACACTGACAAAAGCTACAAGCCAGGCAAACTTCTGAGACACAGTCAGTTCCATAGCACCCTGCTAATTCACCTCTAAAGATACTCTTGAGCAGCGGCTTTCGGAAGCATCGAAATGGGGGGTAGCTTTGTGATGCAAACCGATGCTTGTATGTGGAATCAGGCTGAGAATTCTCCAGCGCACTTTACAGGGGCACTGTCAACTGGAAATCTAGTTAAAACACAGAAGTGTGGAGTAGATTCTGGTTCTAAACTAGACCCAAAGTCATCCAGGCAATTTGTGGTGGTTTTTTTTTTTCCTTCCAAAAGTTGCATGTGAAAAATTCATGTGAAAAACAAGGAGAATGGACTGGACAAAACATCATTAAAAGCACACAGTAAAACTTTAAAAACAGAAATGTTCAGACAAAATATGGATTTAGATGCACCCACGTCTGAAAGTTCTGGACTTAATTTATAACTTAAATTATATTAAACAAGGCACATTCAGTGTTTCATAATCAAAGCCATGAGAAGGCCCCTGGATAGTTTACACCATCCCCTCCCCAGGCAGGATGACTCCCTACCATGCGCATTAGTTACTTCCCCAGCAGAATTAATATTAGTTTGTAAGGTCAGATTGGCTGAATGGCTCAGCAATCTCTAGGTAACCTGAAAGAAGTGGCAGCCGCAGAAGGAAACATACATGATTGATGGGATCTTCCAGGTAGAGGATCCCGTTCTTGATCGAGTTGCTGAGATCGTTCTCCGAGTACACTAACGATGGCACCTCTTCATAAGGACTGCCCTCTGCCAGCTTCTTGTGCTGCAGAGTAAGACCCCCAGATCAAATATTACTAGAGGAAGTGAAGGCCCCAGAAGAACCATGATCACATGTTTATGCTTTAGAGACCTTAACGTTCTTCAGCTGTACTACAAGGGGTACCCCCCGAGAGCATAACTACTGATAAAAGATCCCCTTCCGCACTGCAGAAAGGGGTCATGAAATTCAGTAGTGCCAAAACACCACTGGGCACGTTGTCCTGTGGCGATGCCTACGAGTTTGTCGTAGGCCAGAACTGCACTGGGCTAGGGCTGCACACACACAGAGCAAAACCAGACCTTTCCCTAAGAGCTTTCTAGCTAAGTCCCTACCAGCAGTATGATGGCTCTGGGCAGAGTTCTTTAGAATGTATAACAGAGATTATGTGACAGCTACCATCTTGGCCAACACACCAAGGTCTGAACCCTGGAACCGCCACACCTTAAACCAGCAATGAGCAACTAAGACTAGTGAGTGGGCTGCATGAATGGGAGCAGAAGCTGGCAGCCTCATGGGGGTCAGGAAGTGGCTGTCCTGTGCGTTTGGGGGCTGGGAGCAGACACTGGCAGCCTCACAGGGGTCAGGAGCTGGCCGCCCTGTGCATGCAGGAGCTGGGAGCTGCTCTAATCAGGCTGGAGCAATCTCCCCTGGGATCCCACTTAATCAGTTAACCAGTTAAACCTAAGAACTCTACATCCCTACCAGGGACCAGCTCCAAGGCAGCGGGCAGGAGCAGCCGGGGAAGTGAGGAAGGGCAGCTGAAATGCAGCTGCATAGCGTACAGGGAATTTAGGGGAGCTGACAGGGGGCTGCAATCCCACTCTGGTCCCAAACTCCACAAGGACAGGTTGTTTCTCCAGAAAACACTGCAAGTAGTGGACAAAGCAGGCAGCCAACCAGCGTTAGAAAGCAGCACTGCACACCTTTAAATGAGCATGTGCTCTAAGGATAATCAATGTAACAAGGAAACAACATTAACCTGCACAACGGTAAGTGAGGAATTAGGCTATGTCTACATTGCGCATTCTTGCGCAGGATATGCAAATGAGACGTGGCGATGAATATTGCCATGCCTCATTTGCATACCTAATGAGCCACCATTTTGTGCAAGAGGCTTTGGCACAAGAGCCATTCTGCTGCTTATTTTCAGGCAGAACGGCTCTTGTGCAAAAGGGGGGCTTTTGCACAAGAAGGAATAGAGTAGACTGCTGCTTCTTGCGCAAAAGCCCCTTGCGCAAAATGGCGGCTCATTAGGTATGCAAATGAGGCACAGCAATAGTCATCGCCACGCTTCATTTGCATATCTTCTTGCACAAGAATGCACAATACAGACATAGCCTTAGTGTATTTAAAAACAGCAGTAACCAGTCTCTGTTTCCCAGGTGGCCTCCAGAGGGCAATAGGGTACAGGAGTCAGAGCTCTCCTCAGTTCAGTTCCATTTCAATGTCCCCTCCCTTTCTCTCCCTTAGATTCTAGAGCATCCTGCATTTCCAGCAGAGCAGAACGCATTCTCTGCCAGTGGAAGGTGCCATGGTAACCAGACGGTGCTGGTGTACAGACAGTGAAGCAGACGAAAGAGACCCACAGGACGAAACACTAGATCTCTGAAGATAGGGAGAAAAGATGGGTCCCAGATCCAATGCACCCTGAACTCTGGGGAAATTAGCACCTGGATCCAGCTCTGACCTTTTCTCGCACCTCTAGGAAACACTAACCCAATCCAGCCTTCTTAGAAAATGGGCCCAAACAAAATCAATATGCACTGTCCCTCTATGGTCACCCGCGGCGAGCGCCCTATCCCCTAGGCCACGCCAGAACCCGCCCCACCACCTCACCTTCAGGGCGCCCTTTATCCTGCCTCTACCTGGGTGGGTGGGACTTGAACCCGCCACACTCCCCTCCCCAGGAGCCATTCCAATGACTAGCTGAGCTGTCTTTCCTTTGCATGAGACGCCAGCCTCCAGGGAATTTTACCTTAATGAGAATCTTCCTCTTCAGCTGGTTTGGCGAGGGGAGCCCGTCAGAGGATATGTCCACCGGCTTAGTCAAGAGCATGTCCCCAAAAACCTTCTTAAAGTTCTGGGCCATGTTCCTCTGCTGGGCAATACTGCAATGGTCTTCAATAGACAGGATGATGGGATAGCTGGGAGATGGAGAAGCAGGAGGGAAAGCAAGGGTTAAGTATCAGAATGGTGACTGGGGGAGGGTCAACATTTCTGTTAACTGCCTGGTCATGGCCCTGCCATGCTATTTCGGAATTATGATTGCTCCTGTTTATCGATCTGAAACGGCTGCATTGCTCTAACGTCCGAATGCCTTACTACCTCAGACATTAATTACTGGCACCAGCGTGCAACAATTTCCCAGGTGCTGACTAGACAACTCTACGGGTTGTTCTCCACAGAGTCCTTTGAAACCCCAAGATATTCCAGATTTCACTCATCTCCACCGAGGTGAACTCGAGTTTCCTGCTCAGCAGCATCCGTCTGTACATCCCAGTATAGGATTCGTCGGAGAGAGGGAACAGATACACTAATGCCGGGTGCTGTCCAGTTTAGGTTAGCCTAACAAAAATTTGCCTCTTCACCACCACAGAGAAGGACAACAACTTCCCTGTGGAACCAACCAGGTGACAAATAAAGAAATCAATAAATAGAGATTGCCTATCTCCTAGAACTGGAAGGGACCTTGAAAGATCATCAAGTCCAGTCCCCTGCCTTCACAGCAGGACCAAGTATCATCCCTGACAAATTTTGGCCCTTTTGGCCCCAAATCCCTAAATGGCCTCTGCAAGGATTGAACTCAGAACCCTGGGTTTAGCAGGCCAACGCTCAAACCACTGAGCTATTCCTCCCCCCAAGAGGGCTATGCAGGGATGTATTTATAATACAGCACTAACATACACAAGACAGAACAGGCAGCCTCCCCACTAACCATGGCACTCTTGTGGAGAAGCAATCACATCTGGGCCTTTAGTAGGACAAGAACCCATGGCCAGAGGTTGTCCCTTGTCGCATTATCAGTTTAGCAAGAAGAACTTTCATCGGTGTTCTGTCTGTGTGTGCATGAGGCTCACACACAAACCATCATGACACAACATTGTACATGTGCACCAAGAGGAGAATAAGCCCTTTGTTGCAATATCAGAAGACACTAAGGCTGTACATCTCAGGCTAATAAATTACATTTAGTACCTGTACAGATGGATACATTCATTAGCAGGGATCCTAGCTTTCATTGATTTAAAACCCCAAATTCTCAGATAAAAAAAATAAACATCCTTTCTTTTTGTGATTAAAATGTAACATTGAACTAGAATTTCCCCTGGACACAATATATATACACAGTTATCAGCAGAACACATTTTCTTGATACATTTACAATTTTTAAGCAATCAATATAATAAATCAGTATAATAAAATACTCTTAACACAATGACCCAGTCATAGTGCATCGTTTCTTTACAGTAGTCTATGGCCTGCTCTGTCAGCATCTTGGTTTTTTTTTCCCCTTTTCATGAAGTTTACATTGAGTGCTTTCCAGGTGTTCTACAACAGTCTGCCTTCACAAGCAATCTACAGCCTAGCTGCAGACAGCACAAAACAGCACATTACCGTCAGCATAAAGTTGTCCTTGCCAAATTCCGTGACACAGTGCATTGAGGGGATTTTTAAAGTTTCTGGCATCTTTTCATAACTTTAATTACTAATGTCTGAAGGCTTAAGTGAAGTTTGGGATACAACAAACACAAACCCCTTTTCGCCTCAGGATGCCAGATCGGAGTATATTTAGTTATGCAAACATAAAGTGCATTCAAAAATCAACCCCAAAAGGAGAGGCTGCATGCACTGAGTAAGTGACACTGGTACTTTCAGTAGCACTGAGTCAATAGTTACTGTCTGTTTTTTTTGTTCACAAAATGTAAAAACTAAAGTATCTCCGTAAAAAAGCAAATTCTGTGTTTTTCTGTGGCAAAGGGATAATAATCCCAGTTCATCACCCAAGACACAAGTCAAATTATTCATGTGGAGTCACCAAGTTCAACCCTGGAGAGGTGTTAGGCCCTATATTTTCAGGGGGTGTTAATTATTGTGTGTCCAGTGGACAGTCCTTCACCCATCTCAGCCCGATTTATAGCGTGCCAAGCACTTGCAGATCCATGGACTACAGCCAGACCTGGGGGAACACATTAAGTATCTGGACCAAAAACATTTCCAGTTGGGCCTCCAAAATTAATGGCTATTTGAAAACGTAGGAATAAACGGCATGCTCAGCATCACAAAGTGAGCCACAGAAGAGCCAGAGACAGAACTCCCAAGATCCTGACTGAATGAGGACAGTCTTTGCAGGTGAAATCAACCTCGTGCAGAGATGGGAACAGTACTTAATTTGTGCAAGGATTTGCCACTCGGGACTCGCAGTCCCGAGCCCCCGGCGAGCCTCCGGGGTTGCTTCATCAGTTATGAAAGTTTAAAAAAAACACTGCTTGAGCCCCAGCATCTAACAAATTAAACCCAGGGGAGCAAGCAAAAAAAGGCTTGCATGAGCTACTTCACTTCCACTTCCACCTTGCTTGCAGGCTTCGAGTGTGTGCTTTGCACAAACATGAGTTTCACTGTAGTTGAATTAGGATCAGACCCTTGAGGAGTCTGCCTTTCATACACCTGGTCTACTTACTCAGAGGTCACGAAGGCATGTTCCCTGATTGTGATCAAAACATCAGAGAATTTGATTTTGGTGGTTAAGGTGTGTCCATGGTAAATCACGGGCATGCCATCAGGCCCGTCCCAGCAATCCACTGTGAAACAAAAACCAACAGGAAACTTAAACCCAGTGATGCAAACAGGACGTCAACATGAAATGGGTCAAACCGAACGAGTTGCACAGGGGAATCCATTTTGGACGGGAAAAGGAGGGAGGTGAAAATCAAGGATCTTTCTGAGAAAACAATTACTCAGATGAAACACACACAATCTCTTTAACCCTTTCAGTGCAAGGCCACATGCAACCAGAGGATTTTGCAAGAGTGTCAAAATGTAGCATGATGTGACAATAGCAGTGCTACCAGAACTTCCAGGCATCTTCCATGCAAGGATCCTTATAGATCTCTAGCTACTCCCATGGACCAAGTCTCATAACAACCAACAAAGTGAATCTTTTCGTCTTACAGATGGGGAAACTGAGGCACAGAGCGGTGATGTGACTTGTCCCAGTCACAGTCAGTCAAGTGTCAGAGGGAGATTAGACTTCAGCTGTCCCGATGGAGCTGGTAGAAATTTTGTGACTGGAGATCTTTTAGTTAAAAAATGGTTTGATTAAAATTAAAATATATTCCACCAAATCGGTTTAATTTTCACTAAAAGTTGACAAACAAGATCCTAAATGACAATGCTTTCATTTAGCAATTTTTTTGAATTAAAAAAAAAATCATCAGAATTTTCTGCAAACAAATTCCAAAAGAAACAATTTCTTTAACATTCCTAGTGGAAATATAATTGGATTTTTAAAAATGAACTCTACCCCCAGGATCCCACTCCCCTGCTCTAACCACTGCAGCAGGCTGCCTCCTGGCATGCAGCATAAGCATGTGAGAAGATGAAAGGCCAGACTGCTAAAGGTAGCCAGGTGCCTAAATCCCACTGATTGTCAAAGGGAGTTAGGAGCCTATATGCCTTTAAAAATCTGCCCTGGAGAGCCAGGCTGTAGTTCTATAGCATGGAGACAAGGGTCAAAAGGTTGGCTGCTCTATCCCCATTGCTATGTGGTCCCAGGAAGGATTGGGGTGGGCTGTGACCCTGCAAGCCAGGCATGGCCCGGTGCAGGATAGAAAGATGGGACCCCAGGATGCCCGCAAGCACATTCTTGCTAAAGGTGCTGGTGCTGCAGGCCCCCAGGCCATACAAGGAGCCAAGGGTCTCAGAGGAAGGCGGCACAAACTTCATGGCCATTGCTGCAGAATAGGAACCAGCCCTGCGAGGTACTCACGCTCAATGCAGCGGCATCCCATGCGCAGGCAGCGCGCGTAGGCTTCCAAGGAGGATTCGCTGGAGAACTGATCCCCCGTCAGGTACCTTCCAAGCAGAAGAAACGCACCATCAAAAGCCAAGCTACGGACAGGAACTCGGAGAGCTCAGCGCAGGACCGGTGCAAGCCGCAACCTGCCTGCGTGGTGCTAGAATACAACAGACGCCCTCCTCCTCTTCTGCCCATCTTGTCTCCCACACTACACAGATCCACCCACTCCCAACTTGCCGGACTGCACTCTCAAATTGGCAGAGCTGCGCCTTTTCCTGCCGATGACACCCGTGACTGTGAATCGACATGGAAGCAAACCCAAGCTGCCGTACCCTCCGTGAGATGCACAAAGTGCCATCAGCATTTGTCCGCAGGAGGACGTTGTTTCCCTGGTTCTAAGAGGGGTTTCCCCACCGCAGCAATTTACGCAACTGATCTCAGCCATCCAGGCTTTTTCTTACAGCCCCCAGGAGAGACAAGGAAGGTGGACAATGCCTAGAAAATGGTTGTGCCCCGGGAGTTGACCCAAAAGGAGAATTTCAATCAATGGAGTGGGGGGCTGGTGAGAGAGACGTCTCCTCTGGCCTTACGTGTTGTGGGAGGAGGAGATCCAATAATGGGAGAGGGGGTTGTTCATGTTCTCCACGCACACCGTGTCCAGCTGCGAGTTCCAGATGCTGTTCTCTTTCGAGAAGAGGAAGGTGAGAATCTGCCCAAGAAGGAACAAAAAGGCACCAGTAACAATAAGGGGTTTGCTCGGGGGGTTTTACTGGAGGCAAAGGCATCCCCACCCTCACTACACGCAGTCACGAGGACCAGGACCGTTCCTCATGCGGCACGCCCCACTCGGCCCCAGCACCGCCAGTAGTAACAATCTGATAGAAGGCCTGATTGTACCCCCGCGACGTCAACAGGCAGCCTGAGATGGGAGCAGTGTTCCCTGTGAGCTGGGCGCTTGTGCGGCCGCTCAGGAGAGATTCCAGTGCTGCCCAGCTGATTAGCAGAGCGCCCGCAGCTAGGTGTGTCTCTCTACTGACGGTGCACAGTCGCACATGCCTCGGTGCACATCAAATAAAGTATTCTGCACACAGATGGGAAAAAATCCACACTTGGATGAAAAAGATTAGAGGGAATATCGGATGGGAGATGGTTGTTTAAGGTCTCAGTGCTGTGGGACTTTACACGCAGCAAGGGACACGACAGCTTATTTAATCTCTGACGACCAACACCCTATGGTACTTGGCATGATTATCATTAGCAATCACCAAATTATTCTCTCCTCCAAGGGGCCTCCCATAGCTCGCAAGATCAGTATGCAGCATACTGGTAGGGAGAGCAAACGTTTGGGGCACGTCAATTCTCTCATGCACCATGGTGACAATCCAGTGCTGGCTATTCATTGGGATGCTCACGAGAGGCTCTGACCCTTCAAGCTGCATTACCCACAGTAGAGCTGAGACCCCCCCCAAAAGGGCATACGCCCTATGAAGAACACAAACTCAACAGCCTTAGCTACTCCATACCTTATTCTGAGCCCCTCCCCCACCCAAATCCCCAGTTTTTGTGCCAATAGTGTCCTCAGACACTCACCTCGTCCAGAGAGAAATAAGGCTCCTCGATCTCTCTCAGTGGGTCTCTCAGAAAGTTAAACATGAACTCCTGAACCTGGAGGGTGTCAGTAGCCCACAGCTCCTGCAGACACAGGGAGGGGGAGGAAAAGTTTTGATTTGTGTGAAATGAAATTTTCAGAAGCTTCCATTTCAAAAGCAACTCTGTGGTTGTGGGTGTAGGAGGGGGATGCAGGGTGTGTGTGTGGGGGGGGA